CACAGCGGGCGCGGGCCGGGAGGCCGAGGCGGCCTGGGCGGCTCAGCGCTGGGACTCGAGCGGCGTCCCGCAGACCGCGGCCCGGCGTCCTGGCTGCTCTCCCGCGGCCGGATGCCGGCTTGGCCCGGTGCACTCGCCAGTCTCCACGTCGGCACCGTCTGGCGCCCACCGCCCTTCGGCGCGGCCCTTCTCCGCGGTCGTAATTGTTCTCCGCCGAGCTCGGCGCTCTGGCTGCCCCTCCGGGTTCCCAAGGACCTTCCCAGTCGCCCGCCCCCCGCGTTATTGGTGCGGGGGCCTCCGCCCTGGGAAAGTCACTCTCCCAGAACCGGGGTAGCCGGATCGAGAGAAGTAGGCGGTGGCCCCAGTTACGCACCCCGCCCGTTTGCAGGGGTCGGACCGGCGGCACACTGGTGGGTTAAGGATCGGTGGACCTGCGGGAAGTGGCTGAAAGAAAACCGGCTTAGTGTATCCCGAAGTGTAGGCCTCTCTTCCCGAAGACCCCCGTAGACGGCTGGGCCCAGGTGAGGTATAGAAACCGCAGGTGGGCTTGCTCACGCACCTGGTGGCACCGGCGGCACCTGGCGGGGGCCGCACAGGTCAGGGCCTTGCGCCCCTCCGTGCCCCACGTAGCCGCTGAGCCCTTGAGACAGCGTGAAGGTCTGTGTTCCTTACCGGAAAGGAGTGTAAATAAAACATCTAATAATTTTGTGTTGTGACACATTGGAACGGTACTATTTTTGATATATTGGAAAAAATCTAGTTTTATTTATTTTAATATTCTGATGTGAGTACTATTCAAAATTTTGGTATTACCTGCTGGAATTACGTTGTTATTGGAGAGATTGGTCTGGGTTTACACGCCTGGACCTTGGTGGGTGCTGGAATTGCTCCCCATTTAAACACGTTAAGAAACAGAGTAACTTCCAACATGCAGCGGCTAATAAGTGGGCTTTGGAGCTGATGGGCTTGATCTCTACTGTGCTGAAATTTTGATCATGTATTTATCATAAATTGGCTTGAAGGTTCACTGAACATGGAATCATCATGGGCAAAATTAGGAAGTAATGGGAATGCTTTTGACAGATCTGCATATTCAAAAAATGATATTTCTTATATGCCAAGCACTTTGGGAATAGATTTCCCCAGTAAATATGTAAAGGGTGTTTGGACATAATCTTTTTTGAGCAGAATGGCCTCTCAGTGTAGGTGTACACTGGCAGTGGAAACTCATGGGCAGGTAAACTGTCCTCCTTCCTGTGTCCTTTCACAATCTATCTTTTCCATTAGCAAGTTGGTATGGTTTTCATTGTTGTTTTTTTAATTTTTAAAATAAACAGTGCATACATATAGTTCATTTATCAAAAAGGGCTGGGGCTGTAGCTCAGGGGTAGAGCACCCGCCTTGCACCTCTGAGGCACTGGGCTGGATCCTCAGTGCCACAAAAAAAATAAATAAAGATATTGTATCTATCTAAACAACAACAACAAAAAAATTACTTAGATCATCTTACATTTAAAAAAAAAAAAGCATCTAAAAAAAAAAGATAGATTTGAGCCATAACCTTGAAAGACCCAATTCTCAAATGCCATAATCCCAGATGTTGGAAAAATCCCAAAAATATCATTCTGGAAAAAATTTTGAAAAAAAATTTTTAAAAGACATTTACACTTTTAAACAGGCTTTATTTGATACAGCTTTATTTTTACACAGTAAAATAGGCAACAGTAACATTTTTGTGAGCATCAACTCTCAGGATTAATAACAGTCACTGCAAAAGCAGTTATGAGCCTATGAACTATGTTCACAAATGGACCAAAAAGGGAAATATACAAATGCATATTACTGTAGTTGGAAATATGTGCACCCAGCTTATTAAAACTGAAGACATCTCAACTTTAGTGATAGATAACCTAAATCTTGTGATAAGACCAGTCAAAAACCACAGTGGGTCATCTCCACATGTGCAGTTGCCCTAAGAGCCAAAATAAGAAACTTGATTTTCACAAATGCAGCTATAGGGAAAGGATCTTCCCTTCCACTGAAACACTCATCTCCTCTGGAAACACCCTCCTCTGTGCATCCAGAGTAATGCTTTACTAGGTTCTAGGTTTTCATTCCACCCAACTTGATGCAACTTTCCGGCATACAATCAAGATGCATCAATCTCTTCCCCAGAATTCATCTTTCTAACCTCTTCCAAAGCCTTTTTTTTCTTTTCTTCAGTGGGTCTTAAGTGTTCTGGATTTCAACATTCAAATTTTTAATCTCTGGGCATTGTGAATTTGGGAATTTTAATCTTTAGAGATTATAGCACTTGGTATTGTATCTTTCCAGAATTACGATCAGTACCAATGAAAAATACACAGTGAAAAAAAGTCTCTCCACTTCACTTGTTCTCATGCCCCCAAAAGACAATATTATATCTTGCTCATTCTTCAGAAATTTTATTCATACAAAGATAATTATTTATTCTTTGTGTTCCTCATTTATAAAAATGCCAGCATGCCATGTACATTGACTACATTTGCTTTTTTTATTAATATATCCAGAAGATGTGTCTGTAGTAATATATACAGAGCTCCTAGCTGTTTTCTCCAGGCCCCCCCATAATATTTTATTGCAGAGATATGCCATAATTTAAGATTTCTGTTTTAATGGACATGTAAATTTTCAGACTGTTGTAATTAAACATTGATCCATTTGGGATTGATTCAGTATATGAGATGATAAATGGTTCAAAATTAATTTTTTTCAGAATGCCTACACAGTTGCCCATTAATTGTTGATTTGTTGAATAGTTCACTTCTGGACTTGATATCTGTTATAGTGCCCTATCTTTTCATGCTCCAGTTGCTGTTTTTTTCTAAATCTGGAGACATAAAATATAAAATCTTGTAAGGGGTAGTGTTTCACACTTTGTTTGGATCATTAGAAATCTTATAGCTGATACTTGAGACCACATTTACCCAACAGTAAAATGCCTCGTGGCATGCATTTCCTGTGGGCTAATTTTTTTTCCCTTAGAAATCCATGAGTCCACACTGATATTCTTTAAATAAATAAATGAGAAGCTCTTCCTTAAGACAGAACGCATTAATAAATTTAGAATAATGGAATTATAAAATCACAATTTTGCAATCATCAGACAAGAAATATAAGTGTTTGCCAAATCTAGTGGGTAAAAGTTGGACAAGGAATGAGATAATTTACATAGGTTCAAAGCTTCTCCCATGAAATTCTTATTTAACAAATGAGAACTTTACAAAAGAGAAATCTGATAGATACCTACCCTATTCAAGTAGTTAACTGGCATGTGAGAGAAGTAGCCATACCCCATTAGTGTCAAATCCTCCAGTTTATCAACTCAGAAATTTTAAGTGACATGTTGGTAATCTACCTACTACATGGGGTTTGTTGGGAGAAACTTATGGAGAGTGATGCAATACATACTATCCCCTGAACTTTCATTATCCAAAATAGGCTGAGTATAGATGTGTGTGCATCATGGCCACAGTTCCAGCAGAAATAGGGTTTGCCTCAGCCAGCAGCCAAATGCAACAGACAGTCACAACCCAGACAGAATGTAAGCCCTACTCCTACCATATTGTGTTACATAAGTGTATGTTAAACTAAGTAAGGTTTAAGGAATTCCTAGTTTCTCTAAGTAACAAGAAATGTATCAAGGGAAATCATATGTACCATAGTAGTTCTAGGACTAGGCATACTAAGGGCCAAGATCTGCCCACAGAGAGCCCTGGGAAGAGCCTTGCCCACCAACAAGGTCTTATCCCTCCACAGACCTGATTGGTCCAATTGGTCCAGCTCAGCCAGACTCAGTTCTGCTACCAAAGATGGAAGGATATGAGCCTCCAGGATCTTCCTGATATGTCTACTGTCATTAATGTCACCAGTGATGGAACAAATCATCATGAGCATCATCACGTCTGTAGTAATTCTGCCAAAAATAAATATTCTGGATATTACCACATGGAAACGCAAGAAAGACCCAAATTGCAGAATACTTGTGTGTGTGTGTTTTTTTTAAGGACTGTAATTGCCAATGTTTTAAGATAAGATCTAAACTGGTTTTAGAATGAAAGACTGAAGATTCGTAACAACCAAGTGAAATATGTTACTCCTGGCTCAGGTCTTTCTGCCCTAAATAGTAGTATGATATAGATAGCAAAAATGAATGGGCTTTCTAGGTGATGGGCATGGGGGAGTTCTTTACACTTTCTTGCCACTTCAGTGTTTGGAATTATTTTCAAATAAAACGTGAAAATTAGAACCCAACCTGTAGAAAAGACTCAATTTTCTATAAAAGAGCTGATAAAACTAATATACAGATTTACCAAGATCACTGTGTGCAAGATCAGCATTCAAAAATCACATACATTTCTATATTCTAGCAATAAATAATAAAAAATTAAAATTTTAAAATCATTTACAATGGTATCTGTGATATGTGAAATATATATTTGGTTTTCATTTCCATTTCCTGGCATATACCTCCTAAAATCCTTGGAATCATCAAAATAGTGTCTCTTATGTGCCATTGAGTTGACGAGTGGCTGGCATACCCTAGCTGTAGTACAGACACTGGTCACCAGAAAAACCAAAGCAGGTTTAGAGGATTGGGACTTTCAGCCCTACCTGCCAGTCTCCATGGAGAAGAGAGGGACTAAAAATTAAGTTGATCGCCAATGACCAATGATTTTATCAATTATGCCTATGTAATGAAGCCTTTTTGAAAAGTCAAAAGGCCAGACTTTGAAGAGCTTTTGGATAACTGAGCACATGGAGATCCTGGGGGGTTGGGGGCACAACTTGAAAGGGCGTAGAAGCTCCATGTCCTTCCTCCCATAAGTCACCTATGAATTTCTTCACCTGTATCCTTTGTAACATCCTTTGTAATAAACCAATAAATGCATTTCCCTGAGTTCTGTGAGCTTCTTTAGCATTTAAACAAAAGAGGGTTGTGGGAGTCATGATTTATAGTTGGTTGGTCAGATGCACAGGTAAAACAACGTGGAGCTTATAATTAGCATCTGAAGTGCGGGGTTATTATCGGAATGTACCCCACCCCCTGTCCTTTAGGATCAGATGCTTTCACCATGTAGACAGTGCCTGAACTGAATCAGATTACAGGATTACCCCACTGTGTCCACTGCGGTATTGTTTGCTTGTTGGTGGAGAGAAATCTGCACACCTTTCTGAAGTCACAAAAACCTGTTTTGTTGTGCTGTGAAAGAGGAAATCAATTTGATTTTTCCCTACAACATCAAAAAATATAAAACACCAAAAAATATAAAACACTTGGGGAAAAGTCAAATATATGCAAGAGTTTTACACTGAAAACCATAAAACATTGATAATAGAAGGTAAAAACTACATAAATAGAGAGTATACTATGTTCATGGAGTAAAGACAGTATTGCAGAAATGCCAGTTCTCCCAAAATTGATATATAGATTCTGAGCAATTGCAATCAAAATCCCAATGAGCTGGGTGTGCAGGTGTGTGCATGTAGAAATGTTTAAGTTGCAAGTTGAAGGCTGCAACTACCTGACTTAAAGATACAAAAGGCTACATATTGTAGGATTTCATTTCTATGCCATTCTGAAAAAGGCAGAACTGTAGGGGAATAAGAGCAGTAGACATTAGGTGCTAAAGGAGACGGGGAGAGAGATGATTATAAGAGGCCATAAGAGATCTTTTTTGGGTAATGGAAATGCCCTTAGTCCTGATTGTAAGGGTGGGGACACTAAACATTTGTAGGCTCTTTGACGTATACACTTGAATTTGTTGAATTTAAATTAGACCTCAACTTTTGTGTGTGTATATACGCACATGTGTGCATGTACTAAGAATTGAACCTAGGGCCTGGCACATGCTAATAAACTTGACTTTAAGACAAAATCTATGACTCTCCAGTGGAGTGTCACATTTTCATGGCCACCCTAAGCTCTATTCAAATTGCATTTTCATTAGAAAAATATATACACCAGTCAGGCACAATCAACACCTTTTCCACTGCCCCAGAGCACGAATAGATCATGCCTCTCTTCAGCTCTTCACACCAGAGTAAAAATTAAATCATTATTTCTTGATATCTTCTTTTTCAGGCAAATCAAGCTTCTCCTGCCTATGACCTCTGCCCGTACTTCCATACCAATTCCCTAAGGCTTGTTTCATTTAGATTTATAGAATCCTACCCTCAGACCATGTAGTATTTTACCAGGAAGTTGTCTAAAATTACTTGCTACTTTTCCAGTACCCTGAGGAGCTCTCTTATGGAGTGTATTTTCCCCAGAGAAAAATGAAACAACAGAAGACCATAGCACAGAGTAATCAGTGTCACAGTATTTGATCAACTATCCCCTTCAGAAAATTTCCCCACCCTTGGCATCAGTTCTTTTTCATCAGAAAAAAAAAATTGGTAGTGACCTTTTAATTTAGATTGGATTGTCACTGAATCAATAGCAGGCAGGCAGTATTACTACTTCTGATAAGCCAATTTCTGAAAAAGCTTGGAATTACAAAACCAAGTTTGCAATTTTTTAATGCAACTAGACACAAGGATAGATTTTAAAGTTGCTTTTATGTAGCTCTATCATTTATTGCTTCACTCTTCACTACCAACCCGTTTGCCTGGACCTGTGAAACTTCTCATGGCTTCTGTCTCAGTTCTCACCCTCCTGACTTTTTCCCCTATGGTTTTTTGATGCCCACCCACCCCCCATGGGATATAAACCAGGACAATCAGAGGAAAGCAAATGTCAGGGTAGTTCCATGTCCATCCAGTGTCTTGGAGGACTTTGACACACTGGCTTAGTCTTCCCAGGCGCCACAACAAAAGTATCAGGCCAGATGGACTGTCAAGATGTATTTTCTCCCTGCTCTAAAGGCTAGAAGTTCAACATCAAGGGGTATCAGGGTTGATTCCTTCTGAAGCCTCTCTTCCTGGCTTTCAGAAGGCCACTTTGTCCCTGTGTCCTCAAATGCCCTTTTCTCTGTGCTTGCACATTCCTGGCATCTCTATGTGCCCAAATTTACAAGGACACCAGGCACCTTGGGTAGGACCTACTCTCACATCCTCACTTATCACCCCAATAAAGGCCCTGATTTCAAGCACAGTCACGTTCTAAGATGCTGAGGGTTGGGATTCAACATAGGTGTTTCGTGGGGACACAATTCAACCCTTACCCCTGCACGATCCTTCTCTCATCTGTTTTTTCAGAAACACATAACTGACCCCAGAATAGCATCCCAAACTGCAAGCTTCCTCACTGCCCTGTTATAACCTTCCTCCTTCTTCACAATTCACAGTGAAAAGACTGTCATGTCCGAACTCCCTGAAGTCCCCATGAGCTCAGGACCCACTCCTTTCCACATCCAGGATCACTACTTTCCACTTCAAATCTCACATTGCTTCTAGCCTGAGTTTTCTAACTCACAAGTCTGATTAAGTAACTCCACTGCTCAAAATCTTCAACTGTGCCCAGCCAAGATTTCTAGTGTGAAATTTAATGTCCTCCCTAGCTGGGCTTGTCCTGCTTCCATAGTCCCTCGCTCTCTGGTAACACTGACCTCCTATGACTTCTATTTTTTTTTTATTCTACACCCATCCCATTTAAAAATGCCATCACAATCTACTGGTGCCCACTGATTTAACGTGTCATGCTTCTTATTTTGTAAAAAACATTAGGACACTACTGGCCACTAAATGAACTTTTTAAATGTCTTATAATAGCTAGCATGGTACTAAAATAATACTTGGATAATTTCTCCTATGACTTCTATGGAAACACTGTCCTTTCCAGAGACAGGACATTGCGGGGTCACTGGGTTTTGACTTGGTAGTAGTTATTCCACTTCTTTGCTGGGAAGCCCTCTGTGCTCTACAGAGGTACTGGTCCTTCAAACCGTGGCTTGAAAGCCCCTCATCCTGCTGTTTTCCCTGGCTCCTCTCCAAGACAGTGGATGCTCCCCATCTGGTTTTCCCACGGAAACATCACCCTGATCATAGCCGGACACCCCAGGGTTCACTCTTCTCCCTGACCTCCCCCACCCCACCTTCCCACTAAGCACAGTGCCCCAAGTATACAGATGGTGCTTGTTTTCCTCATCTCTGTAGCTCCAAAGTCCAGCATATAGCAGAAAGAAAGAGAGGGAAGAAGAGGGCAAAACCTAAGTCTTTATATGATCCCATGTAATTTAAACACATTCCACTCATTAAATTCATCTAGGTTACCTGCTTTCGTGTAATTTCAAGGCAAGTTACATGATGCAGTGACTTCCACACTAAAACATGACTGGGCACATGTTTTAGTATACTGCACAAATGTGGTTTCATTTATAAGTAGGAAGTCTCTTCCCTGTGATCCTACCTCCACCAGTGCATCCTGTGGGACTTCTGGTCATGGACCCTTTCCTAACCTCGGAGTTAGATTTATGGAGGCTGAAGCAATCATGAATCACCAACTGGATCCAAGACCCCAGCCAATCAAAATCCTCCAGGGTTTTTTTTTTTTTTTTTTTTTTTTTTTTTACCAAGAGTTAGTTAAAACAAATCCCTATATCTCACTGTTGGGATGCTATAAGTACGTCATTCTAGAAGCTGCAGGCAGATATGTACTGTAAATACGAGAGGGTGCATTTCAGAAGCAAATGAAGCCAAGAAGCAGAAAGGCAGAGGTCAGACCTAGCTGCAGGCCCAAAGTATCTGAAGAGAGGAACCGTCTGTGTGACCAGTGTTGATGGCAGCATTATTCAAACAGCCAGAGGGTGAGAATAACCCAGACGCCCTGGACATAGGAATGGATGGACAAAATGTGGTCTGTTCACACAACAGACTATTATTCAACCATCAAGGAGTGACATTCTGGTACTTATTAACACTAACAAACCTTGAAAACATTTTCTGAGGGAAATGAGCAGATATAAAAGGACAAATATTAAGTGATTCCACTTATATAAGGTGCCTTGAATGCATAAAAGCATAGATAGAAGAATGGTGGCATCGCAGGATTTGAACAGGGAGAAATGTAGAGTGAAGGTTTAATGCAATCCAATCTCAATTTGGGATGAAGATAAAGTTCTGAAGATGGTTAGTGATGGTGGTTGCCCAACATTGCAAATTTACTTACTGTCACCGACTTGGACACAAAAACATGGTGAAAACAATTAAAAATTACATGTATTTTACCATGACAAAAAAATAATTAAGGAACTGAAAGGCACTAGGACGGGATCCCAGCGTGGGTTTGAAGGGAGCTAGTTGGGAGGCTGAGCAAGATCACCTAAGGAAGAACTGTAGATGCAGCTGTGATTCCCAGTGGTTGCGGGGAAAGGAACATTTTTAGCTGGGAGCTGGGATAAGCAGAGTGAATGTATATCATAGGGAACCCTCTTGCCATTCCAGCATAGGAGCTGGGGTGGCAAGAAGTGGAGAGGAAGATGAGACCTGCTCCTGGAGGACAGGGACTAGCGATACAGAAAGGCAGCTTGGAGGAGAAGGTTTCACCTGCTCCCCTGCCCACCCCCGCTCTGAGCTGGGGCTGCTTTCCAGTGCTCTGGGCTTTGGCTGCCTCATTCCAGCGCTCAGAATGACACCCCCACACACACCGCCAGGCAAAAGGAGTTTTGCTATCTGCACTGTGCAGAGGAAGTAAAATCCCAGGGAATGTTTTAGTTTGCCCAAGTTTAGATGGACAGTGTGAGGGTTAGCTGAGTTTCAAATATAGATCTCTTTTGATCCCAGAAGATGTTAAGAGTGCAGATTATCAGGACGACTCTCAGATTCTGATTGAGGGCTTGGGCTAGGACCTGCAACTCTGCAGGTGCATGCAGTTCCTGGGTAGTTCTGATTTAGGTGGTCTTCCGTGAACCTCAGTAGGGAAAGCCCTCTCTCTCCTGCTTAGAGTGCTCCTGGCCAGTC